CTCACTAAAACCTGCGTGAATAGGGCCAGTCGCTAGTGAGCATCAGATTATTATTGAAGTTCGTTACAGGATTTCATCATGAGCTGACATTGGTTAGAGAACCATTGGAAAACCAGCTGGGAGTACTGGACAGCTGTTTCATCCGTCCTAGTTTGGGACTGTTCATCAGTACGCACCCACCGAAAGGGTTCAAACCCAGGACCTTCTGGTTATAAGGCTAGAGAGCTCGTAGACCATTAGGCCCGATCCAATCGCCCATGAATTCTAACCTCCGCCAATTCACGATATAGCGCAACCGCTGGCCAATATCTTCGGCGAGTATTTGTCCTCACACCCTATCTGCTGCACCCTACTGGTACTACTGAGAAGAGTCCCAAACTAGGACGGATGAAACAGCTGTCCAGTACTCCCGGCTGGTTTTCCAATGGTTCTCTAACTAATGTCAGCTCATGATGAAAATCCTGTAACCAATCAGCCAAATCCCTACAAACCAATACGTGAATATTATTGAAGTGTTGGTTTGTTGGGATTTTATTGGTTTCAGAAATTTTCATGAGTTGACATCGGTTGGAGAAATTTCTTCACATGGAATATAGAAATTATCAGAAGTTTAGTACTAAGTATGTTATGTAGTATATAATGCTAGGCATTGTCCACTATTCACAGATTAATCCATGTGTTATGAACATAAGTGTTGAGTTAGTAATTTGTGATTCCGAGGTAAAAAAAACAACTCCTAGCTTCATTGTTGAGGAGGTGAAATTCGAAGTTTGAAGTTAGTGAAAAATTTTTTTTCAGTTTGCTAGTAGTATTGATTAAACATCCAATTGATAGCAAACATTAATTGTTATCTATTCTCTAGATGCATTTATTAACATAGACGACTTTATTTCATGATACGATGACTACTTGTCTGACTTTTCACAGCGCATAGTACATCGAATCTTCTCAGTTGCACTTTGTTTTAACCACCTGTTTACCTCTTTGAAAAAGAATCTCTACTCACATGCACTTTCAAATTGTTTCCAACTTAACCTCTTAGTTTGTATTGGCAGGAAAAATATGTCGGCTGGGCGGGGGGCGGGGGGCGGCGTCAGAACATTGTCACAGTTAGAACACTGTGTAGATTGCTGTTTTACCTGAGGATTCCGTATACAAAATAGACGAGACGAAGATGAAAATTCTGAACAGAATAAAGCATAATTATTACTAAATTATTAACGAATTTATCATTCATCCTTTCAACCTAGTAGGTGTTAAAATTGAAGATAACATAAGAGATTTTACCCGACAGCTAATTGGATTGGCAACTAGACTTGATGTGATATTAATAGTGTTCAATACCTATATCCTTGGGTGTTTTGTTTTTGCATAATTTGAGAAGAAGGAAGAACAATCTATCATTCAGTTTCTACTTTCGGACAATCTCCCTTTTTGTTTTATTTTTTATTGTCTAACAAATGAAATGGGCTGTACAAAGCCCGAATCGATTGAGTTTGCAGGCAACAGTCACAATGCGAAACAAAAAGGATATATATATATATATTAAGCAAGTTTAGAATATATTTCTTTCTCCTCTCCTTCAAATCCTACTCGTGTTTCCCTTTGTAGTTTTTTTCATTTGAAGAAAATTACTTTATTTGTCAGAGGAAAACATGTGACTCTCTTCCTCTCTGTATACATATATATATATATATATATCATTTGTTTTTTACCGATGCCATAAATCTATCGTCTAATCTATATTGCATGGAGGATTTCATCATGAGCTGACATCAGTTAGAGAACCACTGGAAAACCTGGGAGTACTGGACAGCTGTTTCATCCGTCCTAGTTCGGGACTCTTCATCAGTACGCACCCACCGGGATTCGAACCCAGGACCTTCTGGTTACAAGGCGAGCTCGTATACCATTAACCCACTGGGACCCAATCCAATAGCATATGATATCTAACTTCTGCCAATTCACGACATAGCGACAGCTGTCCAATACTCCCGGGTTTTCCAGTGGTTCTCTAACTGATGTCAGCTCATGATTAAATCCTCCATGCAATCAAACAAAATCCCTACAAAACCAATACTTGAAAATTAATCTATATTGATCCAACTGATATTTGTCTTTCAAGTGTTGGTTTGTAGGAATTTAGTTGATTGGTTACAGGATTTTCATCATGAGCTGACATTGGTTAGAGAACCATTGGAAAACCAGCTGGGAGTACTGGACAGCTGTTTCATCCGTCCTAGTTTGGGACTGTTCATCAGTACGCACCCACCGCCAGGGTTCAAACCCAGGACCTTCTGGTTACAAGGCTAGAGAGCTCGTAGACCATTAAGCCACTGGGACCCGATCCAATGGCTAGTCCATGAATTCTAACTTCTGCCAATTCACGATATGGCGCAACCGCTAGTCAATGTCTTCGGCGAGTATTTTTTTCTTCACACCCGACCTGCTGCACCCTACTGGTCACGACTTCTCTCTAGAACCCCAGGTATTTGTCTTTATTTCACAATCCCTTTTGCTTCTTCTTCTTTCTTCGACATATTCAGCTATATTATGATTATACAAGTGATTTATAAGTGTATCTGTTAAATGACTTATCAGATAGTTATTGTATAAATTTTTTGTTATGCCTATAAAAGTAAAAGTGTCAAGTTCTATGAACCTGTCAGTCACTTGGTCTCAATTCACAGATAACCACATAGGAATCAAAAATAGATAGCAGTAGCACTGCGAATTAGCAAAAGTTTAAAATTCATGAGTCATTGGATTGTGGTTTAGTTTCTGAATGGTCACTGGGATAGCCTCATAACCTGAAAACAGTGAGTGCTCTCTACAATGAAGTCGTAGGTGTGTACTGATGAAGAGAGCTATGAAGTAGGATGAAAAAACTATTCAGTACCCTCTTGTTTTCAATGGTTCTCTAGTTGAAGTTAACTTGTGATCAAATTTGAAATAAAATAACAGTCTTTTTAAAAAGTTCACTTAATACCTAATATCTTTTCCACCCTTAAAGGTTGTGATTATCGTTTGAAAACAGTATTATTCTGAGTTGTGTAGTTACAAGGTAAAGAGGTGTCTAACATGTATAGTACTGTATTGTTTTCTGGGTTAACGCGTTACTTGCAATGTACTTTCATCTCAGAGACGTAATACAAACTTAAGTGGAACTGGGGCACTGTGATCGTAAATATTCCCACTACTGGGTAATGCCTATTTTATGTAGTACACAGTAATATGTAGTGTTATTTATGTGGTGATGACGATTTGAGCACAATTTATTACTCATAGTCACCTTCTACATTTTCTTTTTAGTTTCTCAGGCGTCTTTTGCTTTTTCAAGAGTTCGTTTGTAGGGATTTGATTTGTTTCAAGTTCAACTGGATTGATGTCACAGTTAGAGAACCATTGAAAACTACGGGGTACTGGACAGCTGTTTCTTCCTAGATTGATGACACTTATCCGTAGTACGCACCCACTAGGTTTCCAGCTCCCAGGACCTTCCGGTTACAAGGCGATCTCTAACTGATATCGATTCGTGGTCAAACATGAAACAAATCCAATCTGCACAAACAAACTCTTGAAAATTGATCGAATGCTCGCTAGTGACTGGATGTAGAAGAAATTTGCCAGAAGTTCTGGCGAGAAATTGTCACCAGTGGGGTCCACCCATTCACGAGTGCGGACAGATACTCACCACTGACACACTGACTGATTGTCGCGCTAAATTCATGAATTGGTAGAAGTTAGAATTCATAATCCATTGAATCAGATTCCAGTGGATAAATGATATACGAGCTTGTTTTCTTACCGACAGGTCCTGGTCCCACTCGACACCCGGTGGGTGAGCATTGCTGATGAACTTCTTACTTTGCCTGGGGATTATGCCTAGCTGTGTTTATAATTCTCTTCATTCGCAAAATGATCTTTTAACTGATTAAAAATGCCCATTAAAATTTTTTCAAAAGAATGGATACTGAACAAAGAGTACTCTTTTCGATAAATTCATCATCAGGCTCTACATTTATATATACATTATAGTGAATGAATGAGTTAGTGTTATGAACGACATTAATGTTGTTTAAATAACATCAAATCAGTAGTATTGATAGATTACAGCTGAATAGCATCAACATAAAATAAGCTGAATGTCAGAAGAATTAGGAAAGATAATAGTACAAATTCATGAGTTTATAGTTTCTACTGAAGGCCAGCCAGGGCAGTAGTAGAGGCTGGACTTGCTTCCTTTGAATACAGAGCGTTGGTTGTTTGAGGCGAATCGCAATAGCCTCTGCTGTTTAGAGCCTGCGGTGCTTCGATGTTTTTGGCAATTTATTTGGGACCCGGTATAATATAGAGAAGGATTCTTCTACGCTGGGTGGCTTTGTGGCCGGTTCGCACCAGATGTTCCCATATCTCCCAGCATGGCTAAGTAAGGCTGTAGTGAAAACCATTAACAGCTCGATATTGGAACATCTGGTGCAAACAGGCCACAAAGCCACCCAGCGTAGAAGAATCCTTCTCTATATTATACCGGGTCCCAAATAAATTGCCAAAAACATCGAAGCACCGCAGGCTCTAAACAGCAGAGGCTATTGCGATTCGCCTCAAACAACCAACGCTCTGTATTCAAAGGAAGCAAGTCCAGCCTCTACTACTGCCCTGGCTGGCCTTCAGTAGAAACTATAAACTCATGAATTTGTACTATTATCTTTCCTAATTCTTCTGACATTCAGCTTATTTTATGTTGATGCTATTCAGCTGTAATCTATCAATACTACTGATTTGATGTTATTTAAACAACATTAATGTCGTTCATAACACTAACTCATTCATTCACTATAATGTATATATAAATGTAGAGCCTGATGATGAATTTATCGAAAAGAGTACTCTTTGTTCAGTATCCATTCTTTTGAAAAATGATCTTTTGCTTTTTTTCCCGTTTAACTGTATATCACTACTCAATACTTTTTTCCCCTTGTTTTATTTATCTAATCCAGTGTCAAAAGTGACTCTTCTCAATCGAAAATCTCATCTAAAGAATGCGTAGAAGCAAAAGGTATGCATCTTAATGAAACTACCTCGCCTTTATTATTATCAACAACTGATTCATCAATTAATCTAAAGAGGAATTCATTAATTAATGATGATAATTCTGTCATTGATGAACCTTCTATGCCTGTGGCTGTGAAAACATTCACTTCGAATGAATATGAATCTTGGCGGACAGAATTAAGTATTTTCAAGGCTATTCATGCGATAAACAGACGATTTTCTTCGATTACACCCCCTCCATCTACTACTGCTAATGCCATCGCCGCTGCTGCTAGTACAACCACTCCTACTTGTACAATTGGTGGTACAAATTCATGTGATGTAAACAGTATTCATCAAATGCTAAAACATATTGGACATCCTAATATTGTTTTATTATTGGGGGCAGGATCGGTAAGTGTTCCAGTTATACTTTGAATAACTTCATTTTTAACATAATTTTTACTAAATCATTTTCAGGAAGAGGAGGGGTAAGCCTGAGAGCCTTTAAATAACTATTTTGTAATGTATGCCTATTTGATATTGAGGTGTGATAATACTGTTTGATGACTTCCCTCTATTCATGTGGGAATGCAAGTCAAGTATTACAGTCAATCAGCGACACTTCTATAATCTCGGATAGACAAACAAAAGAGTTAAATCCTCTTAAAGTCTGTCTGGTAGAACTCATCCTTCGTTTCATCCGTACTGCAGTTAGTGGGGGCGTAGGCGGAGATTATGAAAAGGCATCGGCGAGTGGTGCAGTCATTTCTCCTTTTTACTGATCCGTTCAGACGGACAGCACACATTCGGCTATCTACCGGGATCCAGTCAAGTAATGTCTTTTCTGCCCTAGTACTCAAAGCTATCCCTACACCAGCTAATCCTCGCGGACTGGCTGTGACATCTCCTGACACCCTCAAGGTGAATTTTGAAGATTCATCCTGTTGGCCAGGTTGGGTTAGGTGAATAACCACACTTGGGTCTTGTATGCGTGTTTCTGAAACACAACATACATCAATGGCTTGTGATGCCAGAGTCTTGGCTAATGATGCTTGTTGTCGTATTTGGCAAAGTGTCCTAACATTAAGAGCTCCTATATGAAATTGGTGGCGCGGCTCTAAGAGGCTGTCGGTGGTGGTTTTTTGGCTTCCGTCGTTTTCAGTGGACACAGAGTGAAGAGGAAGTGAAGAGCCATCAAGTCGAGGCGTTGCGTCAGTGGAAGGAAGGCAAGGCAATGGAGATGAAGGTGAAGACAAAGATGAGTGAGGATTCGAAAGGTTTCGCGTGCATTTCGGATTGTGAGGGCGTTTGTTACTTCCCGGCTGCCCACACCGTGGAAGTTGGTTGCGTGACCGCAGAGCCCAGGGGACAACTGCTTGAGGCCTGTCACACGCGGCCTGTTTTTGTTTGTTCTTTTTTGTTTGGTGTGTCTCAGTAGCATACTTATCACTCCTGCCCTGTGACACGGCAGCAGGAAGCGCGGTCGTTGTTAATGCGGTCCCTGGCCGATCCGGCATGAAATTTTGTGATTTTGTATTGGTCATGGTATTGGGTTGGGTAGCTGCTTTTTGTTTAACCGCTATCCAAACAACCTTTCTGGCATGGTAGAACCTCAAGAGACATAAGTCTCAGCCAGTATAGCTTGATTAGGTCATTGCGGTGTTCAAGCCCGACCACCACGTCAAGGTAGCAGCTTTCGGTCGGTCCTCTTCAAATATGACTCATTAACTCACTTTTCCAACACGTGAAAACAAATTCGGGTTATTTCACCAACAGTCTGGAGTCATTGGTTCACAAGATCCCGACGATCCCCACCGATCAGTTGACATCTCCCTAAGTGGCTCAAACTAACTGTCAAAGAGTTTATGGACTGATATCAGGTTTTGATTTGACTACATCTGTCTCTTTTCCAACCTAATCCTATATTGGCTAACACTGCTCATTGAGGAAGGTGGTGGCTCAGAATGTGCAACACGTGTCCCAGCCATCTCAATCGATTGAACTAAACAACCTCATGAACTGACTTACCCTCCTTACCTAACACTCACCTTATTGTATCTCAACACGGGGGATAACTCGCAATCGTCTGTTGTGGTCAAAGACAACTAATCTCTCCAACTCTTCCAATTCAAAATGACCATGTCTCACAGCTATAGAGAAGGGCATTACAGAATGTTGCTCAGTAAACATGTGCCGTGATCAATAGTGGGATATCACACCTACGCCAGAGATAACGTAAGTTGTGAAATGCCACATGATATTTTTGTATCTGAGATGCGATTTCATCAGCAATCACTCCATTAAGGCTGATGTAACTTCCCAAATAAGTGAAGTAGTCAAGATACTCAATCACTTTACTCCTTATCTTTAAGCTTGGAGTCAGTCAGTAAAGACCAGTCCTGCAGAATCATCTTACATTTGATAGGATTAAATTGCTTACCATATCGGCATACCGAGATTTCTGCTCGAATAACTGAAATCACAGTAAGTGGACTATTGATAAATGACTTGTTTAATATACCATTCTCTATGTTAGGTGTTGATTTGTAAAAACGTAGGTACGCCTAACTTCTGAGGTGTGTGCAAATGAACACATAATCCTTTGTTCGTGTACCAATCAATATATGTTACCCATGTCATACAAAACTGTTTACCACCACCAACTAACTAACTGGTCAGCTATTTTAAAGAAGGTTCAGTCTATCCTCCAAATGGTTTTTTGAGAGACGTTTGTCGTGATTTTCTACCCTTAAAAAAAATTGCAATTAGGCTGTTTCTGTCTCCTTTTTCATTAATCTGTCATTCAATGTTGAAGAAAACACACAAAACTACAGTTGTTGTTGTTGTTGTTGTTGTTTTTGCTGTCAGTGTTATTAGAACACTCAAATCAATCATCAATCTTCTACTCTGTAGAATTATTTATTTCATTATTTTAATGCTACTTTTTTTGTTGTTGTTGCTTTGTTTTCATTTTCCATGCTGTTTAATTTAATTTATTTTATTTTATTATTATTTTTTTTGTATGGTTTTGTTTCGCCTTTTTATTTTCGCTTTGTACTTGTGCTGTACTAACTCTTCATACTATACTATACTGTTTATTTTTAGTCATTAAATGAGACTGTTCTTATATTGCCTCTTACTCTTTTATTGTGTCTCCCTTTCTAATTATAAAATAAACAAAGACATTCATTCAATCTAACAAGGATAATATAGAAGTTGGAAATTTCCTTTACTGTTGTTATCTCCGTTAGACACATAGATCGATAGATGGCTAGACAGCAGTAGGAGTCAGTCAGTCAGCCGGATGGGATATGTACCATCTCTATTGCATGTTCAGTCGACAAATTTCAATCAGCATGCATGTGGAAAGTAGACTGTCTGACTGTGACTGGCTAACAAACCGAAGTAGAACTTTTCATTAATTCAAGTTTCCACCCTTGATATTAAATTAAATAATTCTTTGAATAAACATGGGTGGGGTGTAAAACAAAAATATCATTCAGTAAACATTAGTGAGGATTCTCAGAATCTAAAAGACAGCAAGGAGTGAAAACATTCGTGTCTTCGTGAACAAGGTATAGCTAAAACAGCAAAATTAAAGTAATTTAAAGTATATTAACTAAGGCGGCAAGATCAATAGCAGTTTCTTTCTGGATCGTTTAGTGACAATCTCTTCAGTAATACGCATGAATCTGGGACTACCTTGAACTTTAATGATCTAGCAGAATTTTAATGTGTCGATTTCATGTCTGTTGTCTAACTGTGATGGCGAGCAATCACACCAATAAAGACGTTTGTGCCCTTCAGACGCAAGTTTCTTGGAATGTTCTCAGATTTTCTCAATCAGCATTTTATTCTGTAAATTGTGACTAACCTGGCAGCTGGATAAGTTCACTTGAGAGCAACGTTTATTCTATATTTAGTTGTTGTAGATACATCATCACCTTTGAGTCGAAGATCGAGGAAAACTGGTTTCTTCATAGTTGTACCAAATGTTCCCTTTAAATTTGATACTCTTTTGTGTTTATCAGTTAATTTTTGGGTTTCATCATTAAGTCTATTTTCGAACAAAGATTTTCAGTGAGGCGGAATAATATTCTCACCAGACCTTTCTGTAGATAATTGGAAAAGAGCATTAAAATTGGGATATAGTCCATTCTAGAATTCATTAACAATGAATATATCTTTGTATAGTTCCATCTGTAGTTGGTAAAAGTCCAGAATCCATAACTTCAAAGACTCAAGGATTGACTTGTTACCAGGGAATAATCTCGCTGACTTAAAATACGCAGATGACATAGTCCTTCCAGATGAAGATGAGCGGCAATCTTCGAATGTTTGGTTTCCGATTCACCCCCGTCTAATGTAAGATGGTGCTACATGACTGGACTACATCGACTCCAAGCGTAAAGATAGGGAGTAAGGTGGTAGAACGTGTTGACCACTTCACTTATTTGGGAAGTTCAATCAACCCCAATGGACTGATTCCTGAGAAAATCTCAGCACAGACACAAAAGGCTCGTGTGGGATTTGCCAACCTGCGTCATCTGTGGCGTAGGCGTGATATCTTGTTGTTAATCAAAGGATGTATATACTGCTCAACAGTTCGCTCCGTACTTTTTTGACTGTGAAACATGACCACTGAAAATGAAGAACATGAAAAGGCTAGTTGTGTTTGATTACAGTAGTTTCTATTCTATCTCCTTTGTTAGGTGGTATAATATGGTGAGCAATACTGAGGTTAGATGTAGCGTGTTAGGCAAGGAGGGAAAGTCAGTGGATGAGGTTGTGAAGGAGAATCGATTGAAATGATTAGTTCATGTTCTACATACGTCTAGCCATCACCTTCATCGACAACGGGCGATGTTAGCTGACATAGGATGGATCAGGTTGGAAAAGAGCTAGTTAGTGGTGGTGAAACCAAAACATGGCTTCATCAGTCAATGAGGTGCACAGCAGCTCGTTTAAGCTCAGTGGGAAGTTGCGGGCTGTTGTCTGAGTGGCTGCAGACAGTGTGTGATATGACTTGAAATCGTTCTCAGTGTTGGCGCAGATGCATTCACTCTTTGTAATATACAATATCCAATAAAATGATATTGTTCTTCCATACTACTATTCTTTTTGCCTCACATGCTTGTTTATTATTTCTCTCTCGTTTGATTCTCTCGCTTTGTGTGCTACATAGTGTAACAACAGAGGACAAGGGCCAGGTAACAGATCGTTTATCAAGGAAATCAGCACGTATTTATGTATATTTCATGTACATTATTATAGCTTATTCAAGCAGACAAACACAGTCTTCTGGTTGGTTGTTTCTCGCTCAAGGTTATTCCGTACTGTTTGTGAACGGTTTCTCAGAAAGCTAAGCCATATATCTGCGAATCGTATTTGCCCACGTTGAGTCTGCTGTGATTGGTTGTTGAATCAGTCTTGTTCATATTTTCTCACGGCCAATATTAGCGACCTAGACATTGACGTAAATTAATGTCTACCGATTGGCTAGCAGCCTGCTCTCACCACAACAGAACTGCTGCACATCTGTGCAAAGTTTTATGTTGAAACGACTCAGTCAGCAATTCAGATAATTAAGTTTTTATTTCGTTCATATCTATTATCATATTTACTTTTTTAAATCGGTCAAGTAAATGGGACGTATGTTTAATATCATTACATGCAATAAATGTGTCACCAATACACCACATATTGTCCAAATATCTAATCTATACTTTCTGCTTTAAGTGACTGCCAATATCACAGATTTCAGTGGATCAGTGGTAGGAACACTCACTAACCACTCACATTGTCCTGGCCTTGACCCCCGATTAACACAGTCCTCAACCTCGCCCTAGTTTGGAAGTAAATTCAGAAGGAAGGTGGGGCATGAGGCCAGCAACTCCACACTGTGAAAATACAAACATTGCAACTGATTAATTAAAGAATGTACCACAAATTTCAGTTACTGCATTTACTGCTTTGACTGTTAATCATAAAATGGGTGATATCGTCGGAATGACTTTTATTTACTCATATACTTATTCACTACTTAAAGTTTGTTACGTGCCAGTTCTCCTTGTCGTTAGTACTTTAACATCAGTCATTAACTGTTGGCATAAGTCATGTTGGGTAATTTGAATCAGTGAACAAAAGTGTAAAGTTTCATGTTGTCTTTGCAATCTGTCACTCAATTGCAATGACTTTTGTTTTCAGGATTTCATCATGAGCTGACATTAGTTAGAGAACCATTGGAAAACCAGCTGGGAGTACTGGACAGCTGTTTTGTCTCAGTGCAGGACACTTCATCTATACGCACCCACCGCCAGGGGTCGAACCCAGGACCTTCTCGTTACAAGGCCAGCGAGGTCGTAGACCATTAGGCCACTGGGACCCGATCCAATGACTAGCCCACGAATTATAACTCCTGCCAATTCACGACATAGCTCGACCGCTAGCCAATGTCTTCGGCGAGTATTTTTTCTTCACACCCGACCTGCTGCACCCTACTGGTCACGACTTCCCACTGGAACCCAGGTAACTACCTACCTGAATAGGGCCAGTCGCCAGTGAGTATCTCATTGGTATTCAAGTGTTGGTTTGTAGGGATTTGATTGGTTTCAGGATTTCATCATGAGCTGACGTTAGTTAGAGAACCATTGGAAAACCAGCTGGGAGTATTGGACAACTGTTTCGTCCTAGTTTGTTTTGTCTTCACTTGATGGTTCTTTTTTTTAAATTCTTTATAGCATCCTTGATAGTTTCGTCTTTCTTATTTACTGATTGGAACAATCGTACCGTTTCCCATGAGATGCACTTTTACCACTGTGAGAAAGGAAAGAGAGAGAGAGAGAGTGAAATCGACTTTCCCTAGGTTATCGCCGACTGCTTTTATGGCTTACTTTTTCTGTTAACTTTTAATAGCCTTATCTTGTATTTTTTTACCCTTCCATCTTTGCTTTGTTTTCCCCGATAATATGTAAATGATTTTGTCTAGCATTTGAAGTTGTTAATTATTAATTTGTAATAATCTGTGCAAATCTCTGTCAACTGATGCCTCCTATCAGTTGCTATTCTGTGACTTCTTATAGAAAGTTACTGCATTCTAAGAGAGCGACTATGCTTCCTGTCCTTATCAGAACCATGAATATGACTTATAAAAAAAAATATGATTGAATCACATTTATAAGATGATAATCCTAACTGTTATCCATTTTGATATTTTGTACTCTGACGGTCTGTCATCAATAGTTCTAACCTGCATGCAGTTATTTTATTTCGCTTGATTAATTCAAGTAACATGTAATAAGAACAGCTTTTCCAAAATGGAATGTGAATTCATTTTATCGCATAGAATTTTCATATTTTATATTTTGATTACAGCTTGATTCCACACAGTACTTTTTGGTACAAGTAAGGAATTTTCAGTATGTGATATCGGCAACCCAAATTTTGCAGGCTGACTATAGATATCAAATGTGCGTCGGCAGGAGATCGAACCTCGGACCATGTACATGGTCAGCGAGAGTCCTAACCATCAGTTGTATATAGCCTGAATAATAAAATGTACAAGCATCTACCGTTGAAACGGTAGAAGATGAGAGATTTAATTAGGGAATGTTTACTAGGACACTGGCATTTTTATATAACGAAATTATGTACATCTTATCTTCAACGCACGATTTGCACAGATATTTCGTCCTGTACTACTTCTAGCTTTCATATTGTGCTTCTTTGTCTTCCTTTCAATTCCCCCATGCATATCCGCAACGCTGAATTATTTACTATCTTTGACATCAAAACTATCTTCCTGTTATTTGATTCTTTTTATGCCAATGAACGTCTCTTTATATACTACTTATAAATCTTATCAGTAGCACTCGCCACAGTGTGACATTATTTCGACATATTCTAACTGTGTATAGTCAGTTCATTTAATCAATAGAATGCTAGCATACTGAGAATAGAAACGAGATACAAAGTATACAGGCAGTTGGAATAATCGATGAGGAGCAAAATAACATTGTGTTTTAATTTTTATCATATTATCCTAAAAAAGTTCGTTGTTATTTCATTTCTTAGCTCTAAAGAGAGTAGCTAAAAGTAATTTTTGAAATATATTTCTCTTTCTCTCTCTCTCCTATTACAAACAAAACAGGTTCAACTGTGTCAATCTTCAATTACAGAATATCGTTTAGTAATGGAATTCGCCTCGTCTGGTTCATTACGTCAACTCTTATCAAATGGTAGTTGGTTGTCATTTAAACGTATACTAAAAATTTCTGATGATATTGTTCAAGGCTTAGGATTTCTTCATAGTGATTTGGTGAATAAAAAACAATTGAATGGTCGTACTGTTATCTTTCCTAAATATCCAGTAGCTCATCGTGATTTAAAACCAGAGAATATATTAATACGTGATGATGGTAGCGTTTGCCTGTCAGATTTTGGTCAGTCTATTTGTCTAGCCGAGATTCCACCGAATAGTCCAACATCGAATAATTCGTGTAGAACATCATTACAAGATGTGCTAACTACAACATATTCAGTTAGTTCAGCATTGGAGTCTTTGCCAAAGGTATGTTTATCGTTGATGGTTTGTATTTATTTCTGTTGTAAATAGGAAGGAGAGTATTGTATACTAATGTTGTTTGTATCCTTGTACGGCATTTACCTTGTTCAAACTACTGCTTAATTGTTTTGATGATCACACTTTTCTTTTGTCTCTAATTGAACACGTATTTTCCGGTATAGAGAGTTAAATCTCATTCTTTGTGTCTGCTTTATTACAGAAATATTTGGTTGTCAGTACAGGCATGACCACTATTTTACGTAGACTGTTTAACATGCGTATATCTCATAAAAAATGGATAGTAAAATATGTTTTCAGCATTTTATCAGGATGTTATAGCCAGGGATAAATGCGCATCACTTATTATGCTATCTAAATCACTCTTATGGTTATATTGTGTGGTCTTCAATCAGTTTACAGTTTCTTACTTATCTTAAACTAGTAATTATTACCCATGTTGATTATTCCAGTAGGTTCTATGTAATTGCCTCGAAAGGCAAGATTTGTAGCTGAGGTGGATGATTAGAAATTAGTTGCGCTCTCTGAGCTGGTTGGTTTACTTGAGAAGCTCTCATTGCCCTACTAGACAACATCTTCAGTGCATACTTCAAATTTAAGTGAGCTCCTAAATTTCCACATGAGTTTATTAGTCATCTCTCCTGGTGACCTGGAACGTGATTGGTTGTTTTTATCTGTTTTCACACCCTCTAGTTCACTCACATTGGTATTGATTATTTCCTTGATTTGAATTTTGACTTTTTGTGCATAAGATGTTCTCCTTATGGATTGGTGAATATTATCTATATCAATGAGTCCTGGATGTCATTGCAGCACTCCTACTTCAAGGAAAATTGAAGAAAAATATCTCATGTATGTCCTCCAAAAAAGAATGTCCACGAAACTTCATCAAAAGATATTCGCTCCCAAAACCAACCAACCAACCAAATCAAAGACCCCCAAGGAAAACATAAAGAAAATCATCTTATTATATGTATAGGACGTCTCTGAAATCACTGCAAGACTCCTCTAACCTTTGGGAATCAATGTCAGACACAGATCAACGACATCGCTTCACTCACTTCTGTATCAACCAAAAGATTCAACTACGAAAGAATATAAAACCAACATGTGATCTACAACATGAATTGCAACGACTGCGAAAAACACTACATTGACCAAAGTGGACACCATCTTCGTCTTCGCATCCATGAACGTAAACTAGCTGTCAAAAGCCATGACACCCACTCCCTCATATCGTTGCATACAGACAACTATGGACATCAATGGGACTGGGAAAACGTTTAAATATTAGGTAAAGGAGCCGCGCCTGGGCAGCGATGATTCGAGACGTTCATGAAGCCGGCTCATCCTCCCGTAGGAGATAGCCGAAGTAAAGTAAAGTAAGTAAGTAAAGGAGACACCAAGAATGCTAGAGAATTTTTAGAACCCTGGTATTCCAGTGAATCGGCAATTAACCGGCACAATGACGTAGATAAAATTTATCATTCCATAAGAGGAAAATCTCATACACGAAAAGTCGAAATTCAGGTCATTGAAATAGTTAATTACCAATACGCGTAGATTAAAGGGTGTGAAAACACACAAAAGCAACCAACCACGTTCCAGGTCACCAGGAGAGATAACTAATAAACTTGTGGAGAAATTTAAGAGCTCAATTCAAATTGAAGTATGAGCTGAAGATATGTAGCCTAGCAAGGCGATGAGAGCTTCTCAAGTAAACCATCCAGCTCAGAGAACATAACTACATCAAAAAGTGTGTATGATGCATTTTCACATTCTGGTTAAGTGAATAACTCTCCACACTTATAAGTGTAGTCGTCAGTCTTCACTATATTCAAGGTTTCCTGATGCACCAGTTGTTCATATAATGCAGCACGTGGAGACTGTATTCACTTTCGAATGAATGTTAGTGATGCATTATATTTAGATAAAGTTGACATACTCTTCCAAGTAAAAAAAAATTCAGGTAAGTAGTTACCTGGGTTCCAGTGGGAAGTCGTGGCCAGTAGGGTGCAGCAGGTCGGGTGTGAGGACAAATACTCGCCGAAGACATTGGCTAGCGGTCGCGCTATATCGTGAATTGGCAGAAGTTATAATTCGTGGGCTAGACATCGGATCGGGTCCCAGTGGCTTAATGGTATACGAGCTCGCCTTGTAACGAGAAGGTCCTGGGTTCGACCCCTGGCGGTGGGTGCGTACTGATGAACAGTCCCAAACTAGGACGGATGAAACAGCTGTCCAGTACTCCCAGCTGGTTTTCCAATGGTTCTCTAACTAATGTCAGCTCATGATGAAATCCTGAAACCAATCAAATCCCTACAAACCAACACTTGAAAAAAAATATATTTTAGATATCTCATAAAATGTTATTTGTATACGATTGGTGGATGGTGGCTAGCATCCACCAATCGTATACTAATTAAATGCCCAGACATCGTCGAAGCATCTGCACAAGAAGCCGACATGTCAACCTGAGACCGAGCACTTCGGTCCAATCAATCGACGGGAAAATCAAAAATTCAATTCAAAAATATTATTTGGTTTATTTTTGTAACATTTTTATTATTGTCTATCATGCTAGCTATAACACATGCAGAGAAACAACGAAATGATGTCATCACATAATATTTGTTTTTTGAACTGCCTTCATTTATATAAGAATAAAATGTGAGCTCTGTGGTAGGGCATAACTCCATCATAGAACAGTTTTATTTCATAAAAAGACAGTAGTGCTGTATTATATACCGATTACCTTTCGAGCATACTACTGCCCATATGTGTTATATCAAGGCATTCACATAACCTCCCTCCTATTTTATCCATACATTGCTTTAATTTCTTATCGTTTGATTTAATTGTTAGCAATATTTTCCATAGCTCCCGGGTGTGTCGGCGTTGCGTCATTCCAGTTGCATGTGTTAGATGTGGATTCCATGATCAACGTCTGCCTCCACCTACCTACCTACCTACCTATAATACTTTTCAGCTCTTTAGGCTGAAGGACCCTATGGACCCAATAAGACAAAATAACTTAGTCTACAAAATACCTCACTGTGACTTTGAGTTCATCTGCATAGGTCAGGACAGTGGATAGGGATCAATAAAGTCATCGTAACATAAGAATTTAGCTAAGTGTAGAATGGCATTATATACTACTGGTTGATCGAAATGAGTAGTTGTATACCACTTACATCAATCAGTAGTGTTTGTTAGCTATTTCAAAGTGATCTAAACACTGGATAGCCGTTTCGCTCGTTTGGAGCCGATCTCATCCACGATGTACCCGGTGTAACTCATCTGCGAGAGCTGAATCAGTTGGAACCACCTGATTTCTGTCTAGCTACTTCAGCGAACTGGCAAGTTTTCAGTTAGTGAATTACTTTGCAGTTTACACAGTTTGAGATGAAATTATTCAGATCATACATGCGATCTAGTTGATATGAGCTACGTAGGAGAAGCTACCAGTTCCTTTGTCGGGCAATTTATCAGCTGACATATGATTAATTTGGAAAAAAGTTACGAATGGTCAATCCGAAACCCGTTATCAATCCATTGAGTCGTTGACTGTGGGTCTGAGTTACATATGGAGTTGTAGGACTGCCTGGTAGGAATCATCGGGATACTGAGAATCAATGACTTCAGACTATCGGTGAAACAACTCAAAGTGGTTTTCAATGATGCAAATACATTCATCTGTTGTGATCTCCCAGAATCACTAAGTTCTCATGTCTTTCTCGTGTACACTTTCGATCATTACAGTTCTTTTGAATTTCTTGGTTTTTGTTTTCTTCTACCTTCGTACGTTACATGGAGTTCGGTATCTTGAACTACTGTACTTCTGTTCAAAGTTCTACTTTGGAACACACTCACGCAGTCATGTGATAACACACAATCAAATAGTAGGATGAGATGGGATAAAAGTATTAAAAGGCGTCATAGTTAAGTGGAGGGAAATGTTGATCATTGGATCTTTAGTTCATCAAATCCACACCTAACACATGCATTACGAATGATGCATTGTCGGTATCCTAGAGATATGGAAAATACTACTATCAATAACATTAAAAGATAAGTAATAATGGAGTTATATTAATTAAGTTTAGAAGTTATGTGACTATTTTGAAATCATTATGAACAATAAAGTTGCTGCACTTCTTATCAAATAATAAAATTATTCTATGGTGGAATTTTGAATGCGTTATTTATATTTCTCGAAAGGACTAACTGTTTCAATCGTTTGCTTCTGTTTTTGAAGTAAAAGAAGGGAACTATATCAAATATACAATGCTATTGAAAACAGTTCTTTAATACACTTATTTTGTGTTTATCACTAACTCATGTGTCTTTTTATACAGGCTGGTACTTTAAGATACCAAGCTCCAGAAATTATTGATGGCGCTATCTCTTTCACCGGTTGGGCTTTATTACGTACAGATATATATTCCTTAGGATTAATTTTGTGGGAATTGCTGACATCGGTTCGTGTACCTGTTGAATATGAAAAATTCCCAGAAGAAGATTGTGATGATATCAATGAAGTAGACTTGAAATTGATTGACTCTGTTCCGAATATGACCTCGTCATCGATTAGTTCTGATTTCCATACAATAAATGATGTACACCTTGATTTCAATGATTTAAATGAAGACAGAGATTATCATACACCAGAGCACAGAAAAGCAAAGAAACGGCATCATTGGCTACCGTATGAAAAAGAACTAGGATCATATCATACTTCATCTGCTGCTTTACAACAATTGGTTTGTTTAGAAAAATATCGTCCAATATGTTATCCATCATGGTGTCATTCATCTGTAAGTTATGCATTTGTTTGTTGATTTCTGTTCTCTTTTTTTTAAATTAAAAAATAACTTTATGGCTTTTCTCAACGCTTGATTTTCTAAACTCTCGATAAAGCAATATTTTTTTTGATTTACAGCTTGATTCCACACTGTATTTTTGGAACAAGTATGGAATTTTCAGCATGGATATCGGTAGCCCAAATTTTGCAGGCCGACCATAGATATCAGGTGTGCGCCGGCGTGGGCTCGAACCCCGGACCATGTGCATGGTCGGCGAGAGTCCTAACCACTGTGCCACCGACGCACACTGAAACCGTTTGATGTACAAATAGCCAATCAAATCGCTTAATTCGATCTTATGCAAACCGAAAGATCCAATAGAAAAAGCAGGTAAAATTAATACCATTTACAATATAAATTGTATGAAGTGTAAGAAACATTACATCTGCCAAAGCGGACGTTCCCTTCGAAATAGAATCCAAAAATACAAATCTGCCGTGAAAAGACACGAGATAAATTCTTTAGTATCAATGCATATAGACAACTATGGACATCAATTTGATTGTGGGGGGTGGGATAATGTCGAAATCTTAGACAGAGGAAACACCAAAAGTGCAGTCAGGGAATTCCTAGAAGCCTGGTACTGAAACGAAAATGCAATTAACAAACACGTTAATATAGATGAAATATACCAACTAATAAAAATTAAATCAGGTGACTAGAAAGTTTAAAATCCAACTCAATAGAAAATGTTCAATACATATGTAAAGATGGTTACCGGGAGACGCAATTATATCACTCATGAAGAAAATTTAAATCATTTCACTTCATGCTAAATATTGCGCTGAAGATGTTGTCTAAAAGGACGACGAAAGCTCCGCAACTAAACCAACCAACTTAGAGAACACTATTAATTGCAAATTGATAGTCCTTTTTTGTTATGTGCGTGGGGCTAGCAACCTCATCCTGTGAAAATAAACACCACTGCTACAGAAACTTCAAGCCACTAGCTTGAAGCCGCCCTACGTTCCACTGGGGAACGTGAAGGAAGAAAAAAATGGTATGGAATGTAGAAGATTTCCAAACTGATTTCAGGAGAGATGAATGTCTCCTACCTTGCCTTGATTAGATAGAGTCCTACAATTTGTCACTCGGTTAGGTTTAAAGAAGCACTCTCTGTGTAATTTATGCTATTCGATAATTGGCCAGCTGTAGAGGCAACGACACACATGTCGTGCCATTCACCACTCGTCTACTCGATTTACATATATTCCAATGCATGTTGACGTTCTTGCCGAAATTCGAAGTGAATAGCTCTGAGATATAAGATAATCACACTTGTTGCTGAAGAGGTGGCACAGTAACCTGTAAACAGTGTGGATAGTTTTTGGCGAAGTGAATACATAGCTCCAATGTCAGTAGCAAGGTTATTTTTATTTTTTTTTGATTACAGCTTGATTTCACACCGTATTTTTTTGGTACAGTTATGGAATTTTCAGCATGTGATATCGGTAGCCCAAAGTTTGCAGGCCGACCATAGATATCAGGTGTGTGTTGGTAGGGGATCGAAACTCGGACCATGTGCATGGTCGGCGAGAGTCTTAACCACTGTGCCACCGACGCACACTCTCTGAGATAAAAGCATATCTAGATAAGGAGCATAAAACATACAATTCTTGAATTTCACTACTATTCATTGTTATATAGATATATATGACCAAAATAGTAATCAAACTGTAGTAGACTGCCTATCCAAGGAATTCTGTCTTTATGAGTGAAAAAAACCTAGAGAAAAGTTGAATTTGTATACAATTGGTGGGTGGTGGCTAGCAGTGGAATCCAGGAAAATCAAAAATTCACTTCAAAAGTTGAGTTTGTTTACAAGCACTTATTGATTTGTTTGCTACTCAGTTTATTATTTATTGATTTATTCCAATCACATGTATATTCTGTTATGTAGTGAAAATCGCATTGTTGTTTTGATGTTGTTGTTGCTGCTGTTGTACTATTCCCTAACATTTGGATCTAATCACTTTTCATTTTTGAATTTAAACAACAAGAAGAATAACATGATCTCTGCAGAGTTACTCCGTTTTCGTAGATCATAGATCACTACATATTGGAATTTCTTTCTTCTCTGATATTGTTTTTCTCATAAATTAATACATAATACATATTTTTTTTGTATGTTTTCGCCTTTTGATAATTTAGTTGATGACAAGCTTTTATCGAACAATCAGTGAATGCTGGGATCATGATCCAGAAGCACGTCTTACAGCAGATTGTATTTTGAAACGTATTCGTTCATTAAACGCTCAACTGATTAAATCTAAAAATTCAGTATAAAATGGTGGGGAGGGGAGGATTTAGAGGTGACGGAAAGAAATGATGACACGTTAAAATAAATTTCAGTTATAGCTCAGGATTTAATGCAATATATACATATATATATGTATATATTATACCCAACACAATATATAACAAAAAATGACAACGTCAGGAATAATCTCGTGATCAAGCGTCATTCACTTACTCACTCACCTGCATATATATATATGCATGCCAATGTCTATATTATCAATATGTATAATCATGAGCATATGTCATTACCTATTTCTCACATCATTCAATATTCATTCCATATCACATATGACAATGTTAGTTGAGTTTCCTCCTTGTTTTCTTTAATTAAGACATTCCTTTCTCTTCTTCCTTGTGTATTCTTAGGCACCTGTTATTGTTACGATTATTATTATTATTACTATAATTCCTCTCTTATCATCCATTTTGCGCAGTACATACATGATTAATCCTTTTTTCTTTTAGTATGTAGTTTGTTTCTTGTAGTGTCACAGTGTGATTCATCATCATCATCATCGGTATCGTCATCACATCAACAACATTATCACTGGAAGACTAAACAATTATAATGCTACCTCTAGTGTAAATTTGTTTGTTTGAATTTTATTATTTGTAAACTATTATTGTTAATACTACTGTAACCTCTTTCATGCCTATTTCAATTGGCATCATAACTTATATGAATATTCTCATAGACGCCACCTCATAGACAGTTATGGTGCTCGTGTATCCGCATGAGATCACATGGGAGATAGAGAGACAGATAGGGAGAGAGGGAGAAGGGTGCATCGTCTATCTCAGGGTTTATTCGATGCACTTTATGTGTTGTCTTAATACCTTTGATGTGCTTCATTTAACAGTGTTCCTTCCTTGTCATATTTCTTTTTTCTTTCTTTTGTCCGGCTAATGTTTTTATTCAATCTTTGAACTTTATCTTGTTTCGATATATATACATATATAACCCATGTTTTCATTTGATTGTGCTCAAATCTCTAGTCATACTTTACTCTCTCCCTTTCTCTCTCCATATATATATAGCAGAACAAAAGGAAAATCAAGAAGTACCCTTGTATCCCCTTTCATCTGGTTCTTTTCCTGCCGAATGCTTCATTTGTGAATAATATTTTATTTAATCTTCCCGTTTATTTGTTTGTTTTTTCACAGCTTATTTATTCTTTGAGATTTTCAAATATAATGCAATCCTCCGACAATTCTTGCCGGTAGTTGCATTTTTATTCCCCTTTGGGTGTTGTTGTTATCGTTATTATTGTTATTGTTATTATTTTTGTTGTGGTGTTGGAGGTTGAAGTTGAAGTTTTACAGTTGGTTCTAGGAACTGAAAAAATGCAATCACAGAACTCTTAAGAGCATTTAATCATGAAAGTATATATATATATATATATATATATATATATATATATATATATATATATATACAAGAATAATTTTATCTCCTGTCATGTAATTATAATACTGATAATATTAAATAATAATATTAATAATTTATAACACGACTATGTTTATTTATTTCTTTTTTTGTTTTTCAAATGATTTAGAAATTGGTTGTTTGTTTTGTAACTTTTTAAAAATTTACTTATACTTTATGGGGTTTTTTAGTGAATTATTTTCCACAATTGTGTCATGCTATATCATTTTGCATCTCACTTAACTAACAAATGATGCTGTCTGTCTGTCATCACTACACACACTTTTTTGATTCATTGTACTGAATATGAATAGGTGTCATTATCAGTGTGACATAATCAATCTCTCTCTTCATGACGAAAGTATAATTGATTGTGTTGCATTTCACTTTGAAGTGGATATCCTATAGTGATCACTAGTTGAACAGTTCACATCGAAATGATTGGTATTCCAATAGGCAGGGACATTATTATTAATTCCTAGAGGAACATAGGGCTTCAGCCACGCGTCTCCATTGCCTTCGGTTTTCTGCCAACTATTTTACCTCGCTCCAAGTGTCCTCACATGCTTTCATCTCCTCTTCACATGACCTACTCCAAGTCACCCTCACACTGACGACCAACTCGCCGCCCGCTTTCCTTTCGGGTTCCACTCAAGCGATGGCTTGTCTAGTGATGTCACTTGATGGATTACTCAGACTATGGCCAATCCATCTCCATTTCTTCCTGCCTATTTGTTTCACAGTCGGTTCCTGCAGGGTTGGTTCGCTCACTGCCAGAGATCCCTGTTTCTGATCTTTTCTGGCCGGCCGGCCATCTGATCTTTAGTAGTGTTGAGCGAAGACAACTGTTAATGAAGGTCTGAAGTTTGTTTGAGATGCTCTTGATGACGAGCTGGCCAAGTCTCTGATCCATCCGTATAGTAGCACTGACTGACTTCACATTGGAGTTGAAAATCCGGATCTTATTTTTCATGTTCACGCTGAGTGATGTTGACCTCCACACAGACTTAAGAGTAGTGAAAGTTTGTCTTGATTTTCTGATTCTGGCTTTGATATCCTCGTCAGTTCCGTTGGCCTGTAGTTGAAACGATGCTTCCCAGGTAGGTAGGTAGGTAGGTGAAGGAGGTTGTTTGTTTCAGGTTCCTCCCATTTATGCCGGCTGATTGTTGTCCGTTATTGTTGTTGCTCTTGGTGTTGGCCAGGAGTCTTCATCACCTCTGTTTTATCTGTGTTCACCTGAAGTCCTATCTTTTTTGGATGCTTCTTCTTCCAGCTTGTTGCTTTTCACTTGCATATCTTCCAGTGTGTGGGAAATCAGACATATGTAATCATCGGCGAAGTCCAGATCCTCCATGTTAGTCTTTGTGTGAGTCCATTTTATGCCTGTTTCCTCGCTGCCCGCCGTTGTGTGTCGCATTATCCAATCTACTGCAATCAGGAAGATGATTGGCGATAGTAGACAGCCAGCTTGCCTCACTCCTGTCCTCACTTCGAAGGTTTCCGTAAGTTTCCCGTTGTGGATTGGTTGGCATGCAGAATTGTCGTATAACTGTTGGATGAGATGTATAATTCTCGATGGCACCCCGTAGTAGCGAATGTAGGGACATATTTTAGTGTGAAATGTGCGTGCTGCCAACAAGTATTTATATTAGATAAGTCTGTTTGATATAATGCATGTATGCACACACAGTAATATGAATTACATTTGAAGCACCACTTATTACTCATAATCATATCTATGCATTTGCACAACTTGGTCACTTGCTTTATATAACTGTTATGTACTGCGGCTGAGTGGTTAATACAGTTTTCCCGTCACCAATTAGCTATGTACTCGTCGAGTAGTTAATACTCCTGACGTGGAAAGAGGGAAATCAGAAGACCACCAGGTTTACGATGATACTTGTATTTTCCAGACAAGGAAAATAAATGTCACACAAGTGTGTGAGTGAAATGGTACTAGATGTACGAACGTGTGAAACAGAATAAAATATAAAGTGTACAATGCAAAGTATATATGAAAATGGTGAATACACATGATCCAATAGACAGTTATCTTACCATGATTGGTTGTAATGTCATATGATAACAAGGTCATACATGTTTATTCAGTTAGTGGACAGACAAAAGCATATTGTCAGTTATAATGGAATATCGATCCATATACACATAGCAAAATATAACAGACTGTCAAAAACAAACACACACGTCATGTGACTACATATCAATAACCTTGCACCCGGCGTTTTTTTAAATTCGAATATGATCCATATATCTGCGTCGTTTATTATATCGTATACATATTTGGTGTTGACTTGGTGAAAAAGACTCGGTGATTATTGTATTTCTCTACCCAATTGTTTTACTTTTGATCCATGTCACCAATATTCTTCAAACTTTGATTCTCGGGAACACTATCCAGTCTGGCTAGCACACAGATAATGTAGGTATGTATATTGGTAGGCTACAGAACATTTGGTGAACTCAAGACACCCTTAGCTCTGTTTCAAAAGTCCTACACAAGAATAGATTGAATCTCTTAAAGGGAATGGGATCAAGACATCTGTGCATAGCTGAACTATGCTAGTGATCGAAAACCTCAAAGCCGAAACTATATATATATATATTCGAAAGAAGTACTTCCAGTCTTTGTCTTTACTATGACCATCATGAACAGTCAATTTCCCTAATAATTAATATCCGACTATGTTTTTTTTATCCGAACCTCCTATCTATTTTGCTACTGTTACGTTCTTTTTATCTCTTTTTATAATCTAGTTATTCGTTATAATTTGCCTCTCGGCTGAAAACAGTTCTGGAACTTTCTCACTCCATTACCACGTATACACGAATATATACACAGCCTACTTGGTGACTGTGTTGAAAAGAAAATTTTCTTCTTTGCGATCGTCTTTTTAATTTATCCCATGCTCGTACGCGTATATTCCACTATTCTTAGTGTCTTGTAGACCCCAGTCTAACAGTCTGTATCTCCCTAACTTGACTCAAACCAACAGTCGTATATTTCATGGATTGATGCGATGTTTTGGTTTGACTATCCCTAACTCCTTGACAGTCCAATCCTAAATTACCTGATAGTGGTCGACGAGGAAGATGATGGCTTGGAAGGTGTAACACGTGTCCTAGCTATAAGAATAAAACTTGTGCACTGTGGTACAGTGTAATTCCATTATGGGTAAATTTTGTTTTGATAAAGTCTCACAGTGTTATACAGTAATGTTTACTGATGACGTTTCGAGCACAATTTATTAATCATATCAATCGTTATTATATCACCTTGATATGATTATGAGGAGTAAATTGTGATCGAAACGTCATCAGTAAACATTACTGTATAACACTGTGTCCTAGCTAACTTGACCCATGCAGCTTCACAGTCTCATTGATTGATTTCCCTTCCTAACTAATACCCTAAGCCTGACCTCATCATTATTACAGACCATATATCACTTAACACAACATACAGAACGCAGGCACTCACGGTCAAAGACAACCGGTCCATTCCTATCCACGTCTTATAGCCCCAAAAGCTGACAGGGCGAGCTACTACACAGTAACAAGTCCTAAAAGAAAGATAACAGAAGTTGACAAGTACCCAACGAGTCTTTTGTATCCAACATTAGATTTCGTCAACAGTCAATACAATAAGTCTAGTGCAATCCCCCAAATAAGTAAAGCGGTCAATGCACTTGATGATCCCTAAACTAGGATTCGATGCTAGTCTTTTATACGTGTTTCTTTCAAACAAATCCTGTTACCGTAATATCAATGAATTAAAGTCCACTTTGATGAATATATGGAACTAGTACTGTTCAGTGTAGGGATCAAGGATAGTTTCCAACACAATTTACATTTTATTCTTATTTCTGGATGAGAAGAAAATTGGACAGGAAGAAACATAACGAGAAATTCTACATAATTATGTTTTAAAATTACACCGTTATTAGCTTATCATCATATAGTGCTTTCGACGAATATGATGTGCCTGTTATAGGTTTCATATGAATTTATCAAATATTTGTTTCTGTGCGTATTCCTTATTCGTTAGGAATAATAGTGAATGAAGAATAAATACATCTTCCTTTTTGTTGTTGATTGGTACCAGTCGAAGATATGAGCTTAGAACGTAGTGTCGTACTCTATTATTCGTTTTACCCCTTTACATTCTCAGTGGAACATAAGGTTTCAAGCCAATACTCTTAAGTTTGGGTAACAGTGGTGTTTATTTTTACGGGATGGAGCTGACAGCCTCATGCACAAGCTTCCCTCTTTTATTGGACTTACTACCTGCTCATTGAGGTGAAGAAGTGCATCGGCCAAGCGTCCAGTCTGCAACCATATGGGTGGGTGGTGAGTGTTCTATTGCTGAACCAATGACGCATTAAAGGTTGATGAAAACTTCAGTTATGCTTTTAATTAAGTTTTAGTGAGTTATTCTTGTCTTTTATGTAAAGTCAGCCCAACCAATTCAAATGACGGCATACATACAGTATAATACTGTGTCAAATGAATAACATGATATACAACGTGTATGGTGAATATGCATATTAAGGAGAAAATGGTTATTTGGATTATTAAAATGTATACAAATGAATCATTGAGGATTATAAAGCACATACTGTAAAACCGGTTGTAACGTGTTTTTGTAATTTGTTAGAATTGTGATATTTAGCATTTTCAGTAGTGATTAATGGTTCAAAGACGTTTTTGTCGCTACTAAACGATTCAGAGAATTTTCAAGTATTGGTTTTGTAGGGATTCTGTTTGATTGTGTGGGGGATTTCAATGGTCTGCGAGCTCTCCTTGTAACCAGAAGGTCCTGGGTTTGAACCCCGGTGGGTACGTACTGATGAAGAGTTCCAATCTAGGATGAAACAACTTTCCAGTACTCCCAGGTTTTCCAGTGTTACTCTAACTGATTCAGAGAATGATTTAATTTTTTCAAACGAATAAAATAATC